GCATCCAATTCCTGAACAAAACCTGAAACTCACAGGTCATAAGAGAGAAGACAGACAAGTGGGACCTTATTAAACTGACAAGCTTCTGCAAAACCAAAGAAACCGTCAAGAGAGCAGGGAGACAGCCTACAGACTGGGAAAAAGTATTTGCCAACTCCAGGTCTGACAAAGGCTTAACATCCTGGATCTACAAAGAACTCAAACGTGCTGAAAAGAAAAAAACCAAACAACCCCATTATAAAATGGGCAAAAGATATGAACAGACTCTTCACAAAAGAAGACATCTGAGCAGCCAACAAACACATGAAGAAATGCTCAACCTCACTAATCATCAGGGAGATGCAAATCAAAACCACAATGAGATACCACCCAACTCCAGTCATATTGGCAATTATCAACTACTCAAAAAATAACAGCTGCTGGAGAGGGTGTGGTAAAAAGGGAACACTTCTACACTGTTGGTGGGATTGCAACCTCTGTGGAAAGCAGTGTGGCGATTCCTAAAAGCTCTAAAAATCGACTTTCCATATGACCCCGCAATCCCCCTACTGGGAATATACCCTGAAGAACTCAAATCACTCTATAAAAAAGATACCTGCACACGTATGTTTTTCACAGCGTTGTTCACAATAGCAAGAATCTGGAAACAACCATGCTGTCCATCAAAAGAGGACTGGATTAAAAAAATGTGGCACATATACATGATGGAATACTATGAAGCCATAAAAAAGAACAAAATCATGAATTTTGCAGCAACCTGGATGGAACTAGAGTCTATAATACTGAGTGACCTCTCACAGAAACAAAGATCCGAGTATCACATGTTCTCACTCATATAATGGACCTTGAACATCCAACGTAATAGTATAAGAAAATGACTGATGGTACTGCAAAACTATGGGGGGGAGAGGGATGGGATTAACAGTAGCATAATCTGTCTGGGGTGGGGAAACACCTCTTATCAACAGGGTGCCTGAATGAAACGTAATTGTATACCTAATCCTTAACTGTACCCCACAAAACCATAATAAAAAATATTGATTAAATATTAAAAACAAAAACAAAAACAAGCAAAAATGGATTACATAAACAAAGGACAGAAACCGCATCTTTACTTCTTCTCATAGTCACAGCGCGGAAGTAAGAAAAGGGCAGGGAGACTCACTTTGGGATTGTTGATACTGCTTCTATTTCATCTTGGTCAAGATGGATTTAACCTAGTGTCAGTGAAGGAACTTTCTATGGAGGAGTGTCAGAAAGTTGAAATGTGTCTGTGTCTTTTCAGTTATCTATCTAAAGGAATGAAATTTATCATCAAAATGAAAGATATATTTAGGTGAATTGAGCAGGACATTAAAATAAAAATTGTTAACACAAAATTATGTGCTACTGATGCTCTTCCAAGTACTTTACACACAAAATTTAAAAGTATGTAGTATTATCAAATCCATTGTTAGTTGAGGAGATTGAGACATAGAAAAGTTGTGTAACTTGTCCCAAAATCATAAACTCGTAAATATCTTCATCAGAATCTTAACATAGGCAGTTAAATTCTAATATTTGTGTGATTTACCAGTGTAATATGTATTTCAGAAAGAAATAAATTAGTTGTTTTTTATTCTCTCTGTATCTTGTAAGTATGTAATTATTAGGTAGATTTATTATTTCTGCCAGTTCAAAGTTCTTTTTTCTTGTTTTATTATACTTTCAGTTTTGAGTATGTCAGAGTGACTGTTAAGCTTTTGCCAACGGGCTCCTGTGTGGGAGTTTTTTGTCTCCTGTTTTCTGAATTTCTTTACCCCTCAAAGGCACCAAGTTTTCCGAAGTCTCGTATCCCCTTACCATCTTGGAGCAAGACTCATAGGAGAGACCTGCAAACAGCCAAGAAGGGAACTAGAGGAATGAACGGGTGGCTTTTTCTATCCTTGGTGTCTACAGCAGTGAGAATAAGTTCCGGGATGCCTTCATCTCTTTAAGAAGAACTTAAAAGATGTGAGTGCTGCGTGAATATTTTGTGGGTGATGGGCAAGTAAGTACTGGAGCATTGAGATAATCTGGACAGATTTCCTGGGGGTTGACAGAAGACAGGCCAGGTTATGTTTACTCCTTCATCATATAGGAAAGTGTGTGGAGAAAATTCATTGAGGACAGCGCATGTTTGAATTAAAGCCTCACTCAGCACTGTGTTGCCTCCCTCCATCTTGCTGTCCATTGGAAAAAGTGTTCTTTTTGAAAAAGAGAAAGGTTTAAGGAGATTGTGGGCAGATTTATTTCTGCTGAACATGACTGTTGAGGTGAGGACATTTGTCTGGAGAAGGGAAACAAAACAGTTTTTTTGTGAGTGTCAAAGCTTCTCTGGTGTTTCCTGGGAGAGAACTGCAGTTATTTGAGAGCTCCAGGAGACCATTTCTTGAAAGACCCGGGAAGCACCTTAGCTATAATCTATATAACTGTGGGTCCCATTCATGTCTTTATTTCAGCTATTTTTAAGATCTCCCTCTGTGTCAGTCTGTTCTCTGCTCTGGGAAAGATGATAGGTTGTCTGAATTTCTCTCTGCCAAGAGACCTCTTCTGTATCCTAATTCTCCAGTCATCCATGTGGGGCTCAGGTGAGAATAATTTATATTTTCTATGCTTGAGTAGTCTTATTCTTTAAATAGAAGGATTGAATCACTTTGTTTGTTCTCATATATACCTGGATTGATTCTAAATTCTCCACTTCATGTACAGGCAAATAAATCATTATATGATTACTTTAGAGGTAATGATGAGGTAGAATTATTTTATTAATACCTTCTAATTCACTGAGGTCTTGGCTTCATGAGGAATACTTTTTTCTGATGACCAAGACCTGATTAAAAACATTAGTTTTATGATTTCTCAGCACTCTTCCTATCTCCTTGATAAAATTTACTATCATTGCAATAACAAAATCAAATTTTAATGATTAAATCAAATGTAAAAATTTGCCTAATGTGAGATCACCTTATTGATTGTAAGTTGCATGAGTGTAGAAATCCTCTTTGCCTGGTTCACCACCACATTTCAGCCTGAATTTGTGCTGTAAATAATGGAGTGTATGAGGGATTGTCTGTGAGTCTCAGTGTTGTGCTCTAAAATAGCCAATCAAGTTCTGTTGACAATCTTTTCACGTTGAGCCTTATTCCACAGATTCATTTGTGGTGATCGGCCCCTCAGAGCCCATTGTGGCCATGCTGGGTGCGGATACAGTGCTGCCTTGTCGTGTGTCCCCAGCGATGAGTGTGAAGAACATGGAGCTGCGGTGGTTCCGCTCCCAATTCTCAGAGGCTGTGTTCGTGTATCAGGATGGACAGGAGCAGGCCGGAGAACAGCTCGTTGATTTCAAAGGGAGAGCAGAGTTGGTGAAAGATTACATCTCTGATGGAAGAGTAGCTGTGAGAATCCACAGTCTCCGGGTCTCAGACAATGGAATATACAAGTGTTTTTTTAAAAAAGGCAGTGATTTTGAAGAAGCCATTTTAGAGCTAAAGGTGATAGGTGAGTAATTATCCGAGAATATATGTCACTTGCAGTGAAATGAAAGCATTTTATTTTTGATTTTTGGAGGATGATGGTATACAGGAGAGACAGAGGCAGGTATGCAGGGAGTTGGCCAACATCCTAGATACTGGATTTCACCCGAAATGCGCTTGGTCTTTTTATGCATTTATTTTAAAATTGAGCCACTTCTAGAAATATCTATTATCAAAATAGGTAGTTTGTTTTCCACTCATGTCTCTCCCCATTCATATTGAAGGAAAACACCATGATTACCAAACTGTGTCTTTTCTCTCAGAGTCCACACCCTGCTTGTCTTATTTGGTGAACAGAGACTCCACTGGGAGCATTGATGGTGGGGTCCTGATTGCATCGTTTATAGGAAGTGACTACAAACGTTGTGACAAGTGCTATTAATATTGAAGAAAAAAATGTATGAGCGGAATGCTGAGGTCTGAAAATAATCAACGTTCAGTAATTAAGTGAAGCAAGATTGGAAAACAATATTAAACTGAATGGTTTTGGGGAAATAAAAGACTCTGAAGAGAGGAGCCAGTGTGAAAAGTCTGGAATAGACTGAGAATAACTGTGTGTCAGGGATTGTCTACAGGACTCTACTGGGTCAGTAGTGATAATGTGCACAAAAATGCTCAGGCAGGTCGTGACAACATTCTTTTTGCTTTTGGGTTCTATCACACAGATTATCCCCCTCAGAGCCCATTTTTTTTTTCTTATTTTTTTTATTTTTTTTTTTTAGTTGGAGTCTCACTCTGTGGCCCAGACTGGAGTGCAGTGGCCGCTCCCAGCCACTGCAGCATCAACCTGCTGGGCTCCGGTGATCCTTCCGCCTCAGCCTTCAAAGTAGCTGTAATTAAGGCATGCGCTACCACGCCCGGCTGATTTTTTTTTTGCTTTATTGTAGAGATGAGATCTCGCTGCCCATGCGGGTCTCGAACCCGCGGGCTCAGGCAATCCACTCACCTCAGCCTCCCAAAGGCACGGGATTACAGGCTGAGTCACCGAGCCCGCCTCGTGTCTTCTTATTTTTATGGCACACTTTGACATGCCCTTCTATGCCAACACAGAATAAAATTTCACTTTCTCCTAATGCTTTCATTTTGTAAAATATGTAGAAATGTAACATAGAGAATTTATTCCTAATTTAAAATGTACCATTCCATATATTTTTAAAAATGAATAAAACTAAATAACTAGCACCCAGATTAGAATGCAGAACTTAATTAGAATCCAGAAAAATCTATTTTTCTCTTCAAGTCACTATTTCCTCAAGGTTGGTGATTAGTCTAATTTCTAACTTCATAGATTAGTTTTGCTTGTTTTGAATTTCACATACATGAACGTTTAATGCCTGTCTTTTTTTATTATACTTGTGAAATTTTTCTATGTAGTTAATTGAATATAGTTGCAATTTATTTCTATCTCTTTTCATTGTTTTATTTTTACATTTATAAATTTAAGCTTCAAAAATGTTATTTGAGTATAGTATGTAGTACTTAAAATATTTTTTCAATTCCAATGTATATTCACTTATTTATACACTGTAGTGAGTAATGCAGAAAATCATCTTCACCAATTTACAAATGCATTATTTTCTATAAACTTCCTATATGTACCAAAGTACATTCTAAATTCTTTATGTGGTTTTGGTAATTTATTGGTTCATTTCTTTCACAGTATCATACTATTTCATTTTCTGGAGGTTTATACTCTCTGCTAAGACAAACTTGTTGTTTTTCAATTGTGATACCCTTCTTCTTTGAATATGTTAGACCTGTCTTAGAGTAATACTTCTCAATTGATGCTATCTAACAAGATATCCATAGACTCATTTTGTCCATCTTCTTATGTGTAACTTTAATAGGAAAATGCCAAATTAATTAGATCTTGAAGGAAAGAGTGACAAACTCTTCCAGTTATGTACTGTGATTCCACTTTAGTAGCCTCTCAGTAAGAGGTCAGATTTTCAGTTTCAAAACCAAGTTCATGAGAGTTATGATATTTTTCAGTATCTTTCCCTTATCACTTCACTGACTCACAGATATAAAGACAAGTTTGACATTTAGAAACAGTTGGTTAATTATATATCTACACTAATCTTTCATTCAGTTAATGTTTGCCTAGTATAGTCACTTCTGTGCTCAGGAATGGGTATCCCTTCCCGTTCTTCTCTCTCAACATTGGTATAGCTTTTGTCTACTCATTTCTTCAAGTTGGGACTTCAATGGCTATATTCTTCTAGGAGATGCATTTTGGTCTTTGGTCTGCTGCATATTTCTCAGCACTGATTTCACTCACATGTTCATCTCCTTTGCTTGGCTCCCTCTGGCAATTATGAGAAGATGGATTGTCTTTCAGATTCCTTTCATGTGTTCTCCATATCAGATCAGATTGTGGTAGTAAATATTAATTGTGTTTTATTTTATAACAAAAAAAGATGATGTAGCTGAAGTTCTGAATATATTTCTGACATCTAAGGAACTGGAGCCGGAGGGAGCCAGATATAAGAGGATCCATACTGTATGATATGAGGTTCAAAATGGTAAAATAATATATAGTCTTAGAAATCGGGAAGATCATTATTCTAAAATGTTTAATGGGTTCTTCCAGTATTATGTAATGTCATGTTTTGATGTAAGTGCTGGTTAAACTAATCCACTAATAGACACGTCTTGTGATGAGTTGAAGAAGAGGAGAGGTGATGGAAAGGGAAAAGACAGGGATGAGTGTAAAAGAAGAAAACAGACCTTAACTCTTTCATTGATTTACTTTACTTGGTTACCTTTATCTTTTTGATAATCTCTGCTTAGAAGAAGAGAAAATATTTGGAAAAATTGCAAAGACAGACTGCTTAAGGAAATGATGAACAAAGATCTCATTTTAAGCTCAGAAAAGTAGTCTTCCTTGAGACTGCAATAAATGGAATAGATGGAAAAGAGATATAGAAATATGGATTTCTTTTTTAGAAAAAATCCAGCATTTGTAAATTTTACTCCACCTCTATTCTTTATCTCTCTATGATCTAATTGTAGATTTGCTTGTGTAGAGAATGTGTGACATGCATTGGTATAAGTCTTAATATCAGCTTTACATCTGCTGTGATTTTTGAACCTTAAATAACCTTTTCTCTCATGAAAGAAGAAAATAAATTATTTCCTCTCATCCAAAAGTATGGTGCTTTGTCATCTTTACATACTGATCCTACTTGTAATATCAGAAATTTCTGAACAAAAGTGGCCAGGTTTCAGATGAATGACTTTCCTCTCCAGGTCTGGGATCTGGTCCTCATATCTTTATGGTGGGTCCAGAAGATGAAGGAATAAAACTGACATGCACAGGCAAGGGATGGTTTCCCCAGCCTGAGGTACAATGGAAAGACTCAAGGGGAGACAAGATATCATCTCTCTCTGAGGACGAGACCCAAGATGACGATGGGTTGTTTCAGATAGAGTCATCCCTCATAGTAAGAGAAAGCTCAAAGAACAAGGTGTCCTGCTCCATGAAGAACCCCTTCTTTGGACAAGAGCAGGTGGAAACCATTTCAATCCCAGGTCAGTGTTGCTCATTTTGGGGACAGGAAAACAGTAAGGGGGTATTTGGGAACTGGGATGGAATAGGTTTTCTTGGTGCATGTTTTTAATGGGGTTTTGGGGCTTTGTGTCAGAGCCCTTCTTCCCTAGGACATCGCCTTGGAATGCAGCATTTGCTGTGACTTTTACCATACTTGTAATTTGCTTGAGTGCTGTTGTATGTTTGGCCTGGAAGAACAAACAAGAAAAGCAAAGAGTAAAATACACCAGGGAAGAGAAATCAAAAGAAAGTGAAGCCAAAGGTAAAGAATTTATGGGTTTGTTAGCATAGTTGTGTATATGGGTTGCATCTGTTAAACATCGAGACAAGCATATGACTGAATTAGAACCTCAAGCCCTCAATAAATGATGTAATCCAGGGCCTGTAGAAGAAAAAAAAGGTCCGATAGATCTAATATAGAGAGAAAACTCACTGAAATAAACATGAAATTGGAAAATAATAATCACAGTAAGTTTCAATTTAATTAAATTTCTTGATCTAGTTATAAAGAAGTGGTATTTAGGATCTGAGCTTAGTAACTCAAACTAGAAAATAAACTTGAACTTTTTTCCTAAAGAATCTGTTATATTATTATTTTTTTCTTTATAGAATCACTCAGAAAAGAACTTGGTAAGTTCTCCATTCCCTTTGTTCTTATAGAGGAAGTTGAGTCCTTACTTTATATTGTGTACTTGGCATCTTATTGGCTGTTCTTCCTTTTCAGCCAAAAGGAAGAAATTATATCACCAAGGTAAGTTCTGTTGAGGTAATGGTTGAGTCAACTATCTCATCATCCCCCATTTTTGATTGCTTCCTACTTACCTTGCTGATGAGGGAGAGATCCCCACCCTAAATAATGTAAGATGGTCCAATCCATGACACCCAACATGAGACAGATGAGATGAACAGAACTGTATCAGTCACACACACTCAGGGCCTGGAGGAGGAAGGCACTGAACGTCATGCAGGACCGTGGGGATTGCACTTGGGAGTAGAGTAAACCAGCAAGGGTTGTAGGAGGCAAACACTATAGTAACAAGAGGTTGAGGTGCCTTCTCTTTTAACTTTCTGTTATGAAAACGTATGTGATTGTCTTGTTTGGAAACTGTTGCAGGCTGACAGGGAAATGAAGCCCATTAGTTTGAAGACCATGGTTAGGAGGGTTCAGCTGACTTGATTAATAGGGGAATTATATAGGTGGGGAGCTTTCCTGCTTGGTGAGAGCATATCTGGTGAGAGCTGGGGAATGCTTGGTTAAGCATTTGGAGTCATGTGAGACTCAAAGATGTGGAGGCAGTTCAGGAAAGTTTAGGCTTTACAGCATATCTACACAATTCAAGCCTGGTTTATCCTTCTCCTGTAAGAATTGGATCCTCCTGTTTCAACGCCAATGTGTTGTGGAAATGTGGAAATATGAGAATGGAATAGGAGATAGGAATAGAATAGGAGAATAGAAATCAAATACTGTAGAAATGTCATTAGAACATAGAACTATAGTACTATCATAAACCTTCACATTTCATGTGGTCTCTATAATTTCATGCTTTGAAGTGAAGGTTCTATAAATGAGAGAATGTAATTCCTTTGTTTTATTTTAGACTGGAGAAAAGCAAAGTTGTATGCTGGTAAGTAACTCTGGTGTTGTCTTTTGTTTTCAATTGCCCCAAGTTTTCATGAGACATTTTCAGGGCATTTTCCAGAGAGGCACTATCTTCTGGAGACTTTATTTTTCAGTTGGGAGCCCAGAAAGAAGGATGGGGGAGAGTACATTACACTACTTCATAAGACATATTCATGGCATATTTTACCATTTGATTTTTAAAAATTTTTGTTGTTGTTGCTGTTTTTAGACTGGAGAAAGGAACATTTTGAACCAGGTATGTGACCTTATTATTTTGTTCCAAATTATCTCTTCTATACAAATGAGTCACTCTTGCATTTGTATATTGGTTATTCATTCCATGGCTTTCACTATCTCTCAATCACATGCTGAAATGTTAGCAGACTTTGTAGTGTTCTGAGACCATTTACTCATTCGTTCATTCAGCATGAAGGTATACCACCATTTATACAGTATCAAATAAATAAAGCAGACTGGATCTCTGAATTCTTGAGAAAGTTCAAATTGTGATGAATGTTATGAAGGAATAATAGATTGCCAAGCAGAAAATATTGGATTAAAGGAATTCCCCCCAAGGAATTTATATTTAAACTGAGACTGAAGGAATGTGGTGAATTCACATGAATAACATTAAAATAGTAGTTCCATTAAGAGGTAGCCAGGTGGTAGCTTGAGATAGAGAAGAGGTTCTTGCAACTCTATAAAGTGAAAAATGATCCAGACCTTCTTAGAATTTTTCCAGAGTGGCAGCTTATCAACTTCTAGTGCATGCTATTTTACTTAGAATTTCATTCCACATACAAACATTTCCTAATAAATTTAATCCTCCAATAATTTAAATTTATTTTCATGCTTATATACAAATTTTTATGAGATAAACTTTAGTTATTGAGGATGTTTGTTTTGACAAAAAGCAGATTAATTACTACCAGTGTTAGTACTATTGCTACTATCACTACTGGTTTTAAACATTACCATATCTATTGGAAGCTAAAATTTACCAAGCATTTGTCATGTACAAGACATAGTATTTAGTTCTCTACACACTATCATTTATTGCTCTTAATAGACTACACTGAGATATCATAATTTTGTACATCATCATGAGGGTTTTCTGTCTAAAAGAAGCAAAGTAACTTCACCAGGATCACAGCTATTAAGGACAAAGAGATTATCAAGGTTGAGATCTTACTGACTGCAAAGACCGGGATTTCAGTCATTAGAAATATTATATGGATATCTGAGAAAGGGATGGCTTAGTTAATACAAAAGCCCACAGAAAAATGATACTGACGAGGCTTAAATGAAAGTAAAAACACTGTGATTGGAAATATGATAGGATCAAATTATTAAGAGCAAGAAGAAAAATAATAGAAATTTGAAGAAGGATACAGAGACCCTAGCCTGAAATACTCAGCCCTGGAGGTTTTCAATGACGCAGTTATCCTGGGTAGATGGTCTCAGCTGCCTGGATCAGATGATTACTGAAGGTCTGGTCCAACCCTGGCTTTCTATGACTTACTCATTATATATCTCCTAGGAATGAACACAGAATAAAACATAGATTGCTTTTACTTACTCTTCCAGTTCTCTCTCTTGTCTTTATCCATTGTATTTATTCAGGATTTGCATCTTTCCTAAGGCCAAAAAGTCTATAATGGACTAATCACGAATCTATTTTTTTCCTCTACACCTACAGTGGTTATTTCTCTGGATCCAGACACAGCTCATCCCAACCTCATCTTATCTGAGAATAGAAGACAGATTTCTACAAGAGAGAATATTCCTCAGAACCATGATGCCCCCACACACCAAGGGCAAGGGGAATCTGAAACCTTCAGTGTTCTGGGTCAGAATTGCTTTACCGTAGGGAGACATTGTTGGGAGGTAGAAGTAAATAAGGGGACAGAAGTTAGACCAGGAACTAGATGGACTCTGGGTGTTTGTTCAGAAACAGTGATGAGAGAGGGGTGGTTTGTAGAAAGTCCAGAGAAGAATTTCTGGGTGGTGGCATGCAAGGAAGGGCAATTCATGGCTCTTACCTCCAAGCCAGAGACTCTGAAGCTGCAGGGGTTCCCCCACAGGATAGGAGTTTTCTTGGATTGGGAGGCTGGAGATGTGTCCTTTTACAACATGGAGGATGGGTCCCATATCTACTCCTTTACCGGAGTCACCTTCTGTGGGAATATCTGCCCTTATTTTAGCCTTCAAAATACTGATACTTCTCTGACCATCTGCTTAGCCTCAGAGCACAGTGAAAATTGTCCTGATTCTTCTCCAAAGACCTCTGTAACTCCTTTAAGAAGTAGTGATACAGATGTTGCCCAGGAAGCAAATGCCCTATTAGCTCCATAAGAAGCCAGTTATTGGCACCTCTGCTGCCTCCACTAAATTGTCTTATATGTATGTTCTCCAGGAAAGCTGTCCTTGGGTAGAGAATGAGTGACTTTCACTAGGCTTGATTTCAGTCTCTTTCAAAGAGGGAGAGGCAGGAAGAGAAATGAGATAACTGGAAAAGTTCCAGGGGAATTTCCTTTAGTGTTACTATTGGGAAAATAACAGTCTTTTCTTGGGTAGCAACAATTTATCCCAAGAAACTTCAAAAAAGTACTTGGGTCTCTGGTCTGTACTCATGCTGAGTGAGTGGAAGTAAATAATTTTAAAGTTATATTTAAATACAAAATCTTTTTTGTATCAAATATGTTAGAGGGATAGTGTTTGAAGGGGAGGTTCAAAGTTGAGGGCATTCATACTATATGTTACTGTTATTGGGGCTGCACAGAAAGCTGCTCAAGTCCTTTTAAAGTTGACAGCTCAACTTGTCCAGTCTTCAGGCTCTAGGGTCCCATTGATTTCTAATCTTAGACTTTGTCAAAGGGTGGAAAAGTCTGATGAGTAGCCTTTTGGGAGGAAAGAACCTTTTTGATTTAACAAGTTCTCACTGGTCAGCAAGTCCAGAATTGTTTCCTATGTGAGGATATTAAAGACAAACAGATTAATGTTGCAGTTTATGATTTCAGAGAGAAAACAGCTGAGCTGGAATGAGGAGGCTGCTGTAGCCTTCGTGGAGAGAGTCATTGTTAACATTAGCCCTTTTTTATTCCTGTTCTATTCTTCCCACTTTTGAGAATTTCCTTACATCTACACCTTCTCCAGATGTTTATCGCCAAGTTTATATCTTCAAGGATATAAAATATGAGCTTCTCCTATTAAATGAACCCTTTCTTCCTGACGATGAAAGAGATCCACTAATACTGCGTTTATACACTGTTAGACCTCTAAGCCCCATTTTTCTTTAACAACTTCTCCTGCAAGATGTAGTCCCTTGGTGAAATTTCCCAGACACACAGTCACTAAGTGATCAGTATTTGAACCTAGGGACAATTCATCCAGGGACCAGAAATCTTAATTCCACTGACACAGGAGGGAGTATCTACATAATTCTTACAGGAAATAATGGAAGCAGAGACAGGTAAATACATGGTGGAGAATTACTAGGTATGATCAATTAGACATGGTGGGTGAGAAGGAATTTTTGGACATGTTTTCATCCCATATACACTGGGGGTGTGTATGGGGCAACAACAAGACAGGAAAAATGACAGTGGAATTATAACATATAACAAGAAGAATAATGGTTCAACTTTTTTTTTTTTAAGTTGGAGTCTCACTCTGTCGCTCAGACTGGAGTGCAGTGGCTGCTCCTGGCCACCGCAGCCTCGACCTGCTAGGCTCTGGTGATCCTTCCGCCTCAGCCTTCCGAGTAGCCAGAATTACAGGCGCGCGCTACCACGCCCGGCTGATTTTTTGATTTATTGTAGAGATGAGGTCTCGCTGCCCAGGTGGGTCTTGAACCCGCGGGCTCAGGCAATCCACTCACCTCAGCCTCCCAAAGGCGCGGGATTACAGACTGAGCCACTGAGCCTGGCTTTGGTTCAACTTTTAATATTTTATTTATGTTACACACTTAGGACGTTCAGCATGAGGTTTCCAAATGAATTTTTAGTATCTCTCCTTCAGGACTTAAATTCATATTGTATTCTACAATAAAGTTCCTTCCTTTGTCATTTTCTCCATTTGTTTAAATGAGTGCTTATCCTTCTAAGCTAAGGGACCGAGGACCAGTAGTTGAAGGTGGACCATGAAAGAAAATGTGAAGGTAGATGGTTCTATTGGCATCAGAGCTATGGAAGTATCAGGGATAACAACATTCATCTTACCATCTCATCTTCATCTGCAGCTTTGCATAAACCAATAAGCAGTGTAGGATCTATAGTAATCCTGTATTTTTGGGCAAAGTGAATTTGCAATCTAGCTCTATCAATTAATTCATTACTGCTGGACGACTTAGGCAGTTCCATTTTGAGCAAAGTTTATACAGGTATTATAAAACATTCAAAAAATAAAGTGACTCCACCAGAATGAAAACATATCTGAAGGCAGGAATTATGTCTTATTAAGGATCGTATCTCTGGCTCTAGCACAGAGAATTCCACAGACAAAATATTCAATAAATACCTACATTATGAATCTATTAATGAATTTCACATATGTGTATTGATTAATCAATATATACTACTTTTCTAGGCTTTGGGATACATAAAAGGAACAAAAACATCCCTGTCCTCATAGATTTGTATTGTACTGACAAATGAGGAAAAAGTCAGGCAGGAAGGTTAACAAATGTGGTCTTTCTGGCTTCTTCCTGTCCTCTCCCTGAACCTGAGACCAGTCAGTCCACACAGCAATTCTGAGAGCTTCCCTACTTAGCATGACTACACTCAGCTGTCTATATACTATACATGAAGAGTGGGAGGAAACCACATCTTCAGGGGCCAATTCAATTACTCATCCATGAGCCACAGTGACTGTTCCAGTGACTAGAGGAATCGCCCTCAGATACAAATCCTTCTCCTTTCTGAAGCTTTTCTAACTGAAATTGAAACTGAGAACGTGAATTCATCACTAATATTGAAAGCTAAATAAACGTATGTTTGTTAATATATAGTGAGATAGTGTGGCTGACTTTAAAAAAAAACATTTTCATGAGAATTTCCCCCACAAAAGCTTATATATTTATTTATTGAGCCTGTATAAGTACAGATTAACAAGCAAATAGCTAGATTAATTAGGAAAGAAGATTCAAAAATAAAGGAAAAATAAATTAATCTTCAGGCATTATCAAATAACTTCTTTTTACATTAAATCAAAATAAGTTAAAAATATTTTCAGGTAAAGCTAGCATGTTTACTAATAACTTGCCTTTATACATATAAAGGCTCTATATGTAAATATGCAAATCATTTGTTAAACTCCATAGAATGTACAACACAAAATGTGAACCCTAACACAAACTATGGACTTTAGTTGAAGAAAATCTGTCAGCATCAGTTCACCAATTATAACAAATATAGCACACTAATACAAGATGCTAATAATAGAGGAAACTATGGAGGAGAGAAGGAAGGATAGCGGCACTTATGGAATTTACACATAATTTTGCCATAAAGCTAAAATTGCTCTTAAAAATGAAATTTTTTTTTTTTTTAAAAAAGAATCCAGTCCACTTTCTATGGGCAGCACCATCAGTTCCATATTTTTGCTGCAGTGAATAATGCTGCAATAAACATGCGTGCGCAGGTATCTTTTTTGTATAATGATTTGAGTTCCTTTGGGTATATCCCCGGGAGGGCGATTGCTGGTCAAGAAGGTCTCTTTCTAGTTCTTTTAAGTACATCTACACAATGGGATATTATGTAGGCATAAGAAAGGACAAAATTATGGACTTCACAGCAACTTGGATGAATTTGGAGTCTATCATACTCAGTGATCTATCACAGAAACAAAGAACTGAGTACCACATGTTCTCACTTATAAGTGTAACTTGAACATTTATCATAATACTATAAAAAAGGAATTGGCAATAGCGGTACACTACCGGGGGATGGGGGGGCATAACGTATCAAGAAGGGTACCTGATCCCAAACCAAGCGAAGTGGGGACCAAAGAGAGGCCCAAACTTCACCTGTATGATGACCACTTAAGTACCTAATCCTGAATTGTATCCCACATCTTTAAAATAAAATGAAATAATTAATAAAAGCAAGTAATAAGGTGCAAAAAAATTTTTTTAAATGAAGTTTGTTAATTAAAAAAAAGGAATGGGAAACTGGTATATGTTACAAAACAGATAAAATTTGAAAATACTATGCTAAGTAAATTAAATCACCCTTCACACAGATATTTTATGCTTCCATTTATATAAAGCATCCATATGAGAAAATTTCATAGAAACCGAAAGCAGATTGCAGGGGCAGCAAGGAGGAAAAAATGGGTAGTAATTGCCTAATAGGCATGGAGTTTCCTTTTGAGACTATAAACACATCTTAAACTGGATAGTAATGATGATTGAACGACAACATGAATGCACTGAATTGCATACTTTAAGATTATTAAAATGATGAATTCTATATTATGTACATTTTACCAAAATTAAAAATGTTTAACAATTATTAAATAAATGTATAAACACCTGTGGCAGAAGAATACATAATTTTAAGCAAAATTTTGAGTTCAAAAACAGAAAAATTATAACCCAAAAGAGAAGCTCCAGAGTGCTGTAGATGCAAGATCTATACAGAACAGTGATAACTCTGTGATGTCTGCTCTCCTAGAGTCAGCAGAAGCTCATTATTAGGTATTCTTCTTTCTCACTTCATAAAATATTTAGACTCTTTCCAATAGTCTTTCTTTTTCACATTCTTTCTTCTCCCACATGTATTTTCATGTCTTTAACACATTATAACTTTAAAATATATATTTACTATGTGTTCCAATAATTGTTAATGCTCATTTTATAATTATTAATTTTAAATTATGTACTTAAATTTGTTCTAAAAATAAAACTGGCATTTTCATATGCATGATAGATAGTTAGAATTTTAATTGGATTAGAATTTCTTAACATTTTTCTAACTCTTCCTCTTCTATAACTTTCTAAAAAAGTCTGTAGTGAGGATTTCACAACACTTCATAAGACTTCCAAAATTATTCTTAGTGATCATATTTTTAATTCTTCTATTCAGCTGTATTTTCTAAGTCACTACTTTTTTTTTTCTAAGTTCTGCTTACATGAAAAACTATCACCATCTTAAATACATGAATCAATACTTGATTTTGTTTCCATTTCTTCTTTTAGGCTACATTGCATTTTCCATTGAATTTTCTAATGATCCTTGGTTATGACACATTAGATTATTATCAGTAGGCCAGATATCAGAGAACCTGGGATAGGATAGGTGTCTAAAGAGACCATTCTCCAAATAAATTTGAATTCTGAGTAGAATTAAAGGATT